GACGGCCCAAGATGGCAACGGAACCTGCCAAGGACGTCCCCGAGAAGCCAACAACCTTCCACAACCCCAAAAAAGAAGCAAGGTATTGTTCCGTCTGGCCTTTGATAGAAAACCCCCCAAACAGAACATACACCTAATTTCTAAGAGGTCCGCGCTGACTTCTTGGATCGGCTCTCTGAGGTCCCACCAGCAGGACCAGGTATGGCGCTCTGGGCGTACGCGGTAGGACGGGAAGGGGAGGGAGGGGACACTCATAGAATTCACCAAAAGCCACACGAACCCTGCATGGTACGTGCAGCTCAGGGGGCGGCGGACCGTCGCCCCATCCCACCATCATAGGGGGATCCGAAGTCCCTGGGGACGGGACGGGGTGGGCATGGGTTGGCATCAGAAGCTGGCCCACTAGCAAAAAATCAGCATAGCTTCTACGTCAGCACACAAGAGTGATCCACAGACGGATCCAAGTCATCTTCCATTCTTTGGCGTCAAACTCACGCGAAACAGCACGCTCTCCCCCTTCCTGGCGCGCGGGGCGCGCCGGGGGCGGCGCCGGAGGCGCCGCCAAGAGGGCCCCACCGCCGATCCATGGAATCCGCGCGGACCGCCGACGAAGTATGCTTATGTATTGTATGTTCTGAAAAAAACAAGATTAGCCAGCATGGGCCCAACAACATGTGTTCTAGAATTCGAGGTGGTGCAGAAGGTGTGGTGCAACCTATGTGATGCCATTTATGTGGCGCAAGATGTGATGAAATCTATGTGGTGCAATTAATTTCTGCTCACAATGAACTGTCCACTCCACTGCTCGCGCAAACATCCCACCCACCCACCCGCAACTTGGTTTGCTAAATCTCTTAAGACCGTGACGGTGGGTACCAAATGGCACTTGGCAACGACAGCGACGCCGACGACGACAGCGACAACAACGACGACACCGACAACGACTACGACGACACCGACGACGTCTCCAACGACTTCGACGACGCCGACAACGACGACGACGACACCGACGACACCGACTACGCCGACGCCGACGACGCCGACGCCGACGACGACGATGACAACGACGACGACGATGACGACGCCGACGACGACGACACCGACGACGACGACCTCAACGACGCCGACGACGACGACGACGACGGCGGCGACGACGACGACGCCGACGTCGACGACGACGAAGACGACGTTGACGCCGACGCCAACGACGACGACGAAGACGACGACGACGTCACCAACAAAGACGACGACGAGGGAGGAGGGAGGACGACGACGGCGACAACGACGACAACGACGACAACGACGAGGGAGGAGAGCGGACGGCGACGACGCGAACGACGAAGAAGAAGGATGGACGGCGACGCCGACGACGACAACGACGAGGCAGGAGGGAAGACGACGACGACAACGACGACGACGACGACGGCGACGAAATAAGAGGGACGACGACGAGACGCCGACGACGGACGACGACAACGACGACGAGGGAGGAGGAAGGACGACCACGGCGACAACGACGACGGAAACGACAACGACGCCAAAGAGGACGACGACGACGACGAACAGAGGACGACGTAGGCGACGACGACGACGACGCGGGAGGAGGGAGGACGGCGACAACGACGACGACGACGCAAGAGCGCGCTCGCACGCTTTTGTTGAAAATCCGTGTTGCGAAACCTTGTGTGTTTGTGGTTTTTCGGACACGCGATATTGAAATCCTTCCGAAACCGATGGGTTTTGAAGGATTTTGGTATACGCGCGCGACGACGCGCGCGTCTGCACTTCGTCCCATTTGTTGCAGAGGATTCTCGCGACGGCACACGCGCAAGGGCGTTCGACAGATTTCGATATGCGCGCGCGAAGCCCCTTTGGTAGCATCGTGTGAAAATCTTGAAAATACTATGGTTTTCTTAAGATTTCGCAAGAGCCCACGCGTAAGCTTTAGCAAATCAGTGTTGCGAAACCCTTTGTTTTTGTATGTGTTTTGGAAACTCGATTGCGAAATCCTTCCGACACCGAAGGCTTTCGAAGGATTTCGGCATGCGCGCGCGACGACTCGCGCGTGTGCACTTCGTCCCATGTTTTGCAAGGGAGTCGCGAACAAATCTTATGTTAGAACAACAAATGCCCCCGCGTACTGTTTTCTACAAGGGAGGGAACCTCAGGGGAACCGATACCGGCCCCCCTGGGATGATGCAAATTCATATTTAGGATGGACATGTGGTCAGAATCATACATGATTTACGTACCCGAAAGGGGGCGGATAACGCCGGGGGGGGGGGGTAGAGTCTATTGTCTTTTTAGAAAGGAGAATCTACGTGGTGTGAGCTGCGTGATGTAAGCTATGCTGTGCCAAATTTGCCATGTGGTGCAACCTATGTGATGTAAGCAATATGGTGCAATTACTGTGGTGCAATCTATGTGGTGTAAGCTATATGGAGCCCTCTATTTGGTGCAGTCGATGTGGTGCAAGATATGTAGTCCAATCTAGCTGGTGAACACTATGTGGTGCAATTCATTTCTGTTCGCAATGAATTGTCCACTCCACAGCTCGCGCAAACATCCCACCCACCCATCCGCAACTTGGTTTGCAAAATATCTTAAGACCGTGACGGTGGGTACCATATGGCCCTTGGCAACGACAGCGACGCCGACGACGACAGCGACAACGACGACGACGACGACGCCGACAACGACTACGACGACACCGACGACGTCTCCAACGACTTCGACGACGCCGACAACGACGACGACGACGACGACACCGACGACGACGACGACGACGCCGACGCCGACGACGACGACGACGACGATGACAACGACGACGACGATGACGACGCCGACGACGACGACAACGACGACACCGACGACGACGACGACGTCAACGACGCCGACAACGACGACGCCGACGCCGACGACGACGATGACAACGACGACGATGACGACGCCGACGACGACGACAACAACGATACCGACGACGACGACGACGTCAACGACGCCGACGACGACGACGACGACCACGGCGGCGACGACGACAACGCCGACGTCGACGACGACGAATACGACGACGACGCCGACGCCGACGACGAAGACGACGACGGCGTCGCCAACGAAGACGACGACGAGGGAGAAGGGAGGACGACGACGGCGACAACGACGACGACGACAACGACGAGGGAGGAGGGAGGACGGTGACGACGCGAACTACGAAGAAGGAGGAAGGACGGCGACACCGACGACGACAACGACGAGGGAGGAGGGAAGACGACGACGACGACGACGACGACGACGACGACGACGGCGACGAAATAGGAGGGACGACGACGAGACGCCGACGACGGACGACGACGACGACGAGGGAGGAGGAGGAAGTACGACCACGGCGACAACGACGACGGAAACGACCACGACGCCAAAGAGGACGACGACGACGAACACTAGAAAAGACAGAGGACGACGTAGGCGCCGACGACGACGACGACGCGGGAGGAGGGAGGACGGCGACGACGACGACGACGCAAGAGCGCGCGCGCACGCTTTTGTTGAAAATCCGTGTTGCGAAACCTTGTGTTTTTGTAGGCTTTTTGGACACACGATGTTGAAATCCTTCCGAAGCCGATGGGTTTTGAAGGATTTCGGCATACGCGCGCGACGACGCGCGCGTGTGCACTTCGTCCCATTTTTTGCAGAGGATTCTCGCGACGGCACATGCGCAAGGGCGTTCGACAGATTTCGGCATGCGCGCGCGCGAAGCCCGTTTGGTAGCATCTGGTGGAAATGTTGAAAATCCCATGGTTTTCTTAAGATTTCGCAAGGTCACGCGTAAGCTGTTTTAGCAAATCAGCCTGTGTTTCTGTATGTGTTTTGGAAGCTCGATTGCGAAATCCTTCCGACACCGAAGGTTTTTGAAGGATTTCGGCATGCGCGCGCGACGACGCGCGCGTGTGCACTTCGTGCCATGTTTTGCAAGGGATTCGCAAAACAAGTCTTACGTTAAACAAACAATTTGTTTTTCACAAAAAGGAACCTCAGGGGAACCGATACCCGCCCCCCTGGGACAGTGAAATTCATATTTAGGATGGACATGTGGTCAGAATCATACATGATTTACATACCCGAAAGGGGAACGGATAACGCCGGGGGGGTTGAGTCTACTACACTTTTAGAAAGGAGAATATATATGGTGAAATGTTGCGTCCTCGGCAACGACGAGGCGGCGACGCTGGCCACATAGCCGCCAGACCGCCGCGCAGGCCAAGACGGCGAGCGGCGACGAGGCGGCGAGCAGTGAAGTGGACAACTCAGTGCGAACAGAAATCAATTGCACTACATATATTGCACCACATCGGCTGCGCAAAATAGCATTCACCAAACATATTGCACCACGTCGGTTGCAAAACATATATTCAAAGCATCGACTGCACAGCATATATGGTACTACATAGATTGCACGACATCTATTGCTCAACAAATATTGCAACACGCAGAGTCGACACAGCATATAATGCACCACAGATGGTGCACCCCATAAATGGTTCGCCAGAGGCTGCTCAACCAATATTGCACAACATAGAGCACACTACATATGTTGCGCACGAGAAAGGTTGCTCAGGGTAGCTTGCTTCACAAAGAAAGCACCGCATATACTGCACAACATGCAATGCATCACATATGATGCACCACACATATTGCTCCACGAAGGTTGCACAACTTTTGTGCACCATTGGCTGCACCATGTATATATACATATATATACCGTGTCGCCGTATACTTCGCAACGCCGATTGCTCCAGATCTATTGTCCTACCTAGATGTTAGAACGTATACTGCTAGGAGCACACTCTGTGGGGGACGCTCTGGCTAACATATCTTACAGTTGTGAGAGAGAAAAAACAAACACAGAGTGTGAGAGAGAGAAAAAACAACAAAACACGATGACCGCAGACGAGTCTGGGGCGGGAGGCGCAGGGGGAGGCGGCTATCCGACCCCAGTGGGCGTCCGGGTGCACAGGCAGAGCCCAGCCGCTGCGCAGGCCCCGCCCACTGTGGCAAGCGGCGCGCCCGCGGGCAGCTCCGCTTCCGCGCCCCGCGGCCACCTCTCGCGCCCGGCCCCGTCGCCCTCGGGGGTGCGTCCGATCGGCTCGGGGGGGGGGGTAAGGGCGGATGCATAGACGGGGGGGAGAGGGGCGGGACAAGGGCTGAGGGATCGAAGGGAGGGGAGAGAGAGTGAGAGAGAGGTGAGAGGAGGCCGAGGTATAGAAGGGAGGGCGGGAGAGAAGGGAGAGGGGGAGGAGGCCGTACGTAAGGGGGAGAGGGGGCGAGAGTCAGTCACCTCGCTCACCCGCCCCCGTGCTCTCAACGCTGCTTGCCTGCTTCGTGCGCTTCCTCGCCCCTTGACCGCCGCGCACCCCCCTCTTCATGCTCTCCTGTCCCTCCTTGCTTCGCGGTCTCTCTCTCTCTCTCTTTCCTTCTCGGCTCGCCCGTCGCCACTCCCCCCACGTCTCCCGCGGCGGTCTGCTCTCCCGCGGGCGCGGCACGTCATGCTCTAGAACGGGGTGCGACTTCTCGACTTCACGGGGCTGCGCAGGGAGGGAAAGCTGCACATGGCGGGAGGGATGGGCAAGGGGAAGGCAGAGGCGGGGAGGGGTACGCTGACGAAAAACATCCCGTGTCTCGATGTGGGCCCCCCGCTCTACTTTTTCCTCCTCTGATGCCCTCCAGCCATCGTGCCACAATCCGCCATCGTACCACCTCGCATGTTGAGGCGTGGAAGAATGCAAAGAAAGGTATGTATGGTGGGGGCCATTTGAATGAAAACAAGGGGTCCTCCACTCCTTACCAGCAGACTCCTGTGTGCATCGCCCCGTCTTTCCGAGGCCACTTCCCTCGTGGCCGCTCGTGCACTTCTAATATGTGGCAGCCAATGCCTACACCGCGATTCCACGCGTGCCCGCTCAACGATGGTGCACTTCCCGCATGGCAGATAGTGCTGAATCCCCCTGCCAGACATGCCCGCTCGAGGATGATGCACTTGCTGCATGGCAGCGAGAGCCTAAACCCTCATTCCACACGCGCCCGCTCGAGGATTGTGCACCTTCCACGTAGCAGCTAACTCCTAGACCCCCCATCCCACGCACATCCGCTCGGGGATCGTGCACCTCCCGCGCTCCCAGGCGCTGCTCCAGAGCGCTGCAAGGTCTTCCAAGCCACGATCCCTCTTTGAAAACGATGGATGCGCGCCCCGAGCATACAAGACGGCCCGTGCAGGCAACCAAGGACACCAGGCTGGCCTAATATTAGGCGGGGCGAACAGGGCCATCCAGAAGGTGGGCCGTCGAAAGGGTGCATGGAACGGCTTTCGGGGAGGCGTTCCAAGATTTCTGGAACGCCTTTCCGCCCAGCGTTCGGAGCAGTTCGGTCGCCTCGGCCCACGGCCCGCTACCGCGTCGACATGGAGACACCTCGAAGCGGGATCAGGCCGCACGAGTGAAGCCAAATTGTCTGCGAGGGGCAGCCTTGGAATTGCTGTTCTGCCACCCTCTCTCCTTCTCGTCCTAGGTGTGCCCGTCGACCGCCGCGCCCTTTCTGTGGCGCCGAAGTGGCCACTTCGCCTGGTCTGCCCCGTGCACGCTCCCGTGCTGGCCCTCCCCCTGCCTCCGCCCACCGCGCAGCCCCTTGCCCCCTCCGCCGCCACCTCCCCTTTTCTCCCTTCACTCCCCTTTTCGCCCCGCGTCGTCGTCGTCGTCGTCGTCGTCGTCGTCGTCGCCCCGCGTCCCACACCAGTGTCGTTCAGCGCCTCACTGATGCTAGCCCGCTACTTACATCTGCCAACCGCGCCCATTTTCTCTCGCACTCTGCCTCCCTCATCCCTCCCCCCCCCCTCCCCCTCCCTTCCCCCAGCTCCCCTGTCCTATTTCGCCTTCCCCCGTCCCCTTCCCCTTCCCTCCCTCCATTTGCCCCTTTCTTCCAACCTCGTGCTCTCCCGCCCCCACCCCTCCCCATTCCCTCCGCCGCCAGCCCTTCCCGAACGCTGTTCCGGGAAGGCGCGCAGCCCTTCCCGAACGCTGTTCCGCGGAGGCCGAATGCAGGCCCCAAGTGGGCCATCCGTCCGGCTGATGCTCCGAGGCCCCAAGTGGGCCATCCACCCGGCTCCTGGAGGCCGCCCCCCCCGAGGCCCCAAGTGGGCCATCCATCCGGCTCATGCACGCCCCCGACCCTCGCACGCCCTGCGCGCAACCCCCTCGCCGCCCCCAGGCCCCAAGTGGGCCATCCACCCGGCTCATGGAACATCACACCGGGGCACCCAGTACCCCTGCACTGGTCCAGGGCCCCAAGTGGGCCATCCGTCCGGCTGATGCTCCGAGGCCCCAAGTGGGCCATCCACCCGGCTCATGGAACCCCTTCCCAGAGCTCCCTCGGAAAGGCGTTCCGCGCCTCGGGGGAAGGGTACTCGCGCGCCTGGCCGCCTTGGCTCCCGCGACCCAGGGCGCCCTTGCACCGATCCCAAACCACCCCGCCTCTCCCTCCCCTTCTCCTGCTCCCATGCCTCCCTCCATCCCTCCCTCCCGCCAGCATTCCTGCCCTCTCGCCCCGCACCTCGTCGTCCCTTTTCTCCCTTTTCGCCCCGCGTCGTCGTCGTCCTCCTCCTCCTCCTCCTCCTCCTCCTCACATGTCCTCATCCTTCCGCCCCCCCTCCTTCCTCCTCCATCATCCTCCGCAATCCTGCTCCCGCCCTCCTCCCTCATCGTCCTCCATGCTCATCCTTATGAACCTCCTTTTCCTCCTCCTCCCTCATTCATCCCATTATCACCTCTCCCTCCTCCTCCTTCTCCTCCTTCTCCTCCTCCTCCCCTCCTCCTCCCCCTTTTTTTGACAACCCAACGTCGAGGCGAGTGCACCGCGTCTAGAAGGGCAGCAGTACAGGTGTGGAGGACACTGAGAAAACATGAAGGGAGAAGAGATCGAAAGCCAGTGGGACCATTAAATACGCAAGAGAAGTGGAGACAGTCGAGAGGGCCCAGGGCTGTCTAGCTGGCAGGAGCTGATTCCAGCAAAGATGGTTGAGGGACGAGGTGAAAGTGGACGGCCGAGCCATCCGCAATCCCAGCTGTGATTTCTCGCACCACCGCGCTTCCATCCACCCGATGAACGGCCCACTTGTTCATCCACCCCCTGGATGGCCCAGTTCGCCCCCTCCAATAATATGCCTCGAAGACGGCACAGGAGGGCCCCGAGGCGGCCGAATATTCACCCAAGACGGCCCAAGCTGCCCCTAAGAGGACCCAAAGTGACTACAAGAAGACCTCCAACAGGTTCCGAAGAAGCCAGCATCATTGATTTCCCTTGGGTTTTTGACTGGTGTTGACATTCTCGCCTCTTCGGGCTGCCGTCAGCTCAAAACGGCCCAAGAGGACTCCACGATGGCCCAAGAGGCATCCCAAACGGCCGCAAGGCGCCCCAAGAGGGCCTCCTGTGGGACCCAAGACGGCATTAGAAAGCCCTTCCACGGCCCTTCGACGGCGCCAAGAACGGCCCAACGACGGCCCCCAGACATCCACATCACGGCAAAAAGGCGCAAAGACGGCCAAGAGAGCCCCAAGCCGGCGCACGACAGCCACCAGACAGCCCAAGAGGGCCCCAAGGACCCCCAAGACTGCCTCACAGCAGGCCAAGACAACCCCCAGACGGCCCATACGAGTTCCACTGTCTCGTCATCGTCGTCGTCATCATCACCAACATCATCATCACCATCAACATCACCATCACCACCACCATCACCATCACCATCATCATCATCATCACCATCACCATCGCCATCACCATCACCGTTACCATCATCATCAACATCATCATCGTCATCATCATCAACATCATTATCAGTACCATTATCGGAATCACCATAAGCATCATCGACATCACCACCAACATCATAATTAATGAACACGGTAAGCACGCCCATCATTATATTCTTAGTCTTCATCATCCGCATGATCATCGCCATCATCATCGCCATAATCATCATCAACATCACCAACACCATCTGAATCATCACAATCAACGTGATCGTCGTCCTCATCGTCGTTGTCGTCGTCATCGTTATCGTCGTTATCATCGTCATCACGAACAGCATCATCGCAACCACCATCACTCGCATCCTCATCCTCATCATCGTCCTCATTCCCATCATCTGCATCATCCTCATCACCGCTCTCCAAGACCTGGAGACACGAAGTGTCCCGAGTGACGGCCTCCCGTGCCCCCTTTCCCCCCATGCTCCCTCTCTTCATAGGCCCCATACAAAGTTCATTTCCATTGAAGGGACTGCCTCGCTGGAAGGCAACCGTTTGAAGGTCCTGACGCGTGCCGAAACATTGTTCCCGGAATTTCAACGCCACGTATCAAACTGAGTGCAGCGTCTTAACGGTCCAATATCGTACCAGGACGCCCTGTTTGGGACTTCGACACAGGAAATCAACATAACTATTGCGCCCGCATAATCCTGAATCCTTCCAGCACACCATCACTGGTACGGTGATCATGGGAATCCGTGAAACGTTTGCAAGTTCGAAAAACGACTGCGCGCGGAGCTCAGGCGATAACCACATTTTGAAAACGACCCGCCCTCACCCCGTAAAGCTCTGGCGAACTTTCAACAGACGGACGCGCGCGGCGCTGATGCGAGAGCCAAATATTGAAAACGGCCCGCCCTCAATCCGTGAAACTCCTGCGTTCTTTGAGAAAAACGCATGTGCGCGGCGCTAAGCGAAAATCGCATCTTGAAAACCACCCGCCCACAATCCGCGAAACTCTTGCAACTGTTTAAAAAGAATGTGCGCATCGCTAAGGCGAGAGCTACATTTTGAAAACGACCCGCCCTCAATCCGTGAAATCCCTGCAATTTTTTCCAAAAAACGAACGCTCGCGGCGCCAAGGCCAGAGCCACATTTTGAAAACGGCCCGCCCTCAATTCGTGAAGCTCTCGCCTTTTTTTTACCAAAAAAAAAAAAGAATGCGCGCGGCGCTGAGGCGAGAGCCATATTTTGAAAACCGCCCGCCCTCAATCCGTGAAGCTCTTGCAGATTTCTGAAACGAATGCGCGCGGCGCTTGGGCGAGAGCCACATCTTGAAAGCGTCCCGCCCTCCATCTGCGAAGCTGGTGTCACTCTTTAAGCGTCGGATGCATTAGCGGTGAGGAAATCTCAAGCGAAGCGCCGGGCCCGCCCTAAAAACTGGCCTCGGGGAGGTGCGACCGGGAGGAGCTATCCACGAGGAGAAGAAAGGAATGGATGAAGAGGAGGAGGAAGAATAATAAGAAAACAATAAGAAGCATAAACACGCCGAGGCGGACCGTGCCCGACGCCGCGCGCGGCCTGGGCGGGAGCCCGAAGGAGCTCGAAAACGTGGAAGCCGAGCGATAGGAGGACGCCGTCGGAGACCGCGTTGAGGAGCGGTGCCCAGACTCCTCCCAGCCCTACGGAGCCGGCCGCCCGCGCGCGCGGCGCCTGCAGCTCGATGCCCGACTCCTGGAGCGCGTCGATGAACGAGACGAGCCTCTCCATGTGCTCGTCCGTGGCACGGCTGATCGCGACCGGCGGCGCACCGTGAGCCATTAAGCGCCCGACGAGGTACTGCCGCCGTGAACTCGCAGCGGGCCTCGGCAAGCCACTGGCCCAGGAGTCATCCTCGAACGCGGGCACGGGCGCCGCTGCCACCCCAGCGGCCGCGCCCTTTCCCGTGGTTCTCTCCTGGTCCATGCTGTCGCTGGCGGCGGCGCCGTGCTGGCCGTCCCGCACCCCGCCCTTCTGGCCGCCACTGCCGCGGGAGCGCCGCCGCCGCCGAGGGGCAGCCGCGGCCACCGCGGGGGGCACCGCAGGCGACGCGGGAGGGGAAGGCCTGGCCAGCAAGGCCGCTGCCGCGCGCATCATGCCCTTGGCCGCCCTCTGCAAGCGCAAAGGCTCGCGGAGCTCAGGGCAGCCCGTTGCCGGCCCACCAGCCGAATGGGCCGCGCGGAGCGCACCGCACGTCACCTCGAGCGCCGAAGTGCGGGCAACTTTCGTCGCCAACATCGGACACGTTGCGGCCGACCCGAGGGCGCCTGCGAAGCGAGCCTGAGCCAAAACAGCTAGGAGGAAGAGGAGGAGGAGGAGGAGGAGGAGGAGGAGAAGGAGGAGGAGGAGGAGGAGGATGACGAGGGGGAGGGAGGAGGAGGAGGAGGAGGAGGAGGAGGAGGAGGAGGAGGAGGAGGAGGAGGAGGAGGAGGAGGAGGAGGAGCCCTGACAAAGCGTATCCAGCTTCTGGATGCGCGGCCCCACTGCAAGGGGGAGGGGGGGCAGCAGAAGGGGGCAGGCAGACGCCAATCTTCGAGTCGACGCCTCGCTCTCTTTGTCTCTCTCGCTCTCTCTCTCTCTCTCTCTCTTTCTCTCTCTCTCTCTGTCTCTTTCTCTCTCTCTCTATTCCCCCCGTCAACCCTTTCCTCCCACTCCCACCCTTTCCGTCCCTCTCCTTCAACCTCCACCCCACTCCTTCCTCCCTCCCATGGTTTCCCTCTCGCCCGCCATATGCTCGCATGGTCCTTATTTGTTTGTTCGATCGTCTGTTCATCTTTTTTTTTTTTTTTTTTTTTTTTCTCTCTCTCTCTCTCTCTATCTGCCTGTGAGTCCGCCGACCCTGTCGGCGTGTGTGAGGGGCTTCTCCGTTCGACTCGTCGTCTCCGTCGTCTTCGTTCTCCCCCTCCCAGGGCTCTCCTCCTCAAGCGCGCTATCCAAAGCGAAATTAAACGACGTCGTAGTGGAGTCGAAGGGAAGCCCCTTCCCTTTGATCCCTTCCCCGCAGGGGGGGGGGAGGGGGGGGGGCCCGGGGCAGATACGACGCCCGCCGGGGCGCACTTTCCTCGAGCGGGCACGCACGGGATGCACTTCCTCCTCCTCCTGGTCCTCCTCCTCCTCCTCCTCCTTTTCCTCCTCCTCCTCCTCCTCCCTCCTCCTTCTCCTCCTCCTCCTCCTCCTCCTCCTCCTCCTCCTCCTCCTCCCGCAGAGGCGTCCTGGGAGCGGGCCCCGAGTCAAAATACCACCCCCCTAGGGCGCATTTTCCTCGAGCGGGCACGCCCGAGATGCACTTCTTCCTCTTCCGGGAGCACGTCCCAAGTCAGAATATCACACTCCCAGGGCGCACTTTCTTCGAACGGGCACACAAAGGATGCACTTCCTCCTCCTCCTCCTCCTCCTCCTCCTCCTCTTCCTCCTCCTCCTCCTCCTCCTCCTCCTCCTTTTCCTCCTCCTCCTCCTCCTCCTCCTCCTCCTCCTCTCCTCCTCCTCCTCCTCCTCCTCCTCCTCCTCCTCATCCTCCGCTCCCTCCCCCCACTCCCAGCCCTTTCGATCGGGGTCGGCGGCACCGGCCGTCAGGCCTCTCCAATATGTCTGTCGGTCCGCATGCCTTCCTATAGTTTTTTTGTTGTCTCTCTCTCTCTCTCGCGCGCTGTGTCGACGTCGATACCCTGATGCTGCAGGGGCACCGCCAATCTCCCGCTGGAGCTACGGGGATCCCTGACTTCGAGGGCTCGACGGCGATGGCTCCAGCAGGGCAGGAGGAAGGAGGGGTACCAGAACTGACTGACTGACCGCCTTGCCGCACGATGGGCGCTCAGCCCAAGGACGGCGAAAATAACGATAAGACACGAATAGCGAACGACCGGCCCGAAGCGAGGGCTAAACGAACCAACGGGAACAGCCGCCGCGCGCGTGCCAAGGAGCAAGTCCAAGCAATGTGTGGCGCAATTGACGGCGGAGCCAGGGCATGCAGAACATCGACCAACCGAGAAAGATTCAAAGCATCGGCCAGCGCGAGAAAAGGACCCACCCGTGCAAAAAAGGAGCGACTCTTCTCTGCCAGGGGCCAACCAGGCCGCGTACTCCTTAGCAGCTCGAAGGTCTGCACATTCGCTACACACAAATACGCAGATACAAGAGAGCCCGCAAAAGGGCGCCAGAGCGTCAGCGTCCTCGTCGCCGCCGCCATCGTCGTAGTTCTCCTTCAGGTTCGGCGGCACCGGCCGTAAGGCTTATGTCAGGCATGTCATCCTACAGCTAAACATAATAGAAACACAATCATACATCGTCAGGATCAAAAACAGGAAAATATCGTCAGGAGACTATGTTTGCACTATTCTTGGATATTCCTCCTGTAGAAGGACATGCACGACTTGACGTTCCACCGCGGGGATCGTTCCACCGTTCCACCTTGAACGATCGGCCGTTTCCGAGTCGTCGGGCCGCTGAACATCAACCAATTCTGGGTCGCTGGCGGCGTTCAACATTGAACGCTGGCGGCGGGGCCACTGCCACTCGACACGATACGAAGCTACTTACCGTACCCCCCCCCCTTCTGATGGGAGGGCATGGGAGAGTTCCAGAAAGGACCCGCACCTTTCCCCCCCAACAAAAAAAAACTCTCTGATGGGGGATTCTGGGAGGGAAAAACCCGAACCCCCTGTGGGGGGGGGTTGGGACGGCTGGTTTCCAGCGGGGTTCGGGAAACTGCCACGCCCGATGGATCATCTACAAGAGACCCCGGGCGCAGAGCCATGAGAAAGGCACCCATCAAGGGACTGGCCCGCGTTGCAGCCGCCGTGCGGCCTCAAGAGAAGCGGTGCCCGAGGATGCAGTCAATGAGCAGAGCTGGTTACCGATGATTGTTGCCAGAACCCCCGCAGGCACCGATATAGAGAACGAGGCAAAAGCATACACATAAACTGTTGGAGGTCCGTGCGGAGCGCGCCAGGGTGCGCGAGCGCAGTACCAAGAACTCCGTGAGAAACTCTAGATTGTGTGTATGCGTTCTTTCTCCCTCGAGGGCAACCGAGCGAAGCACTTAAGACCCACCCTGGTTCATCGCTAGCACCGAAACGAAGATGAATAATCCGTGGGGGCGGGTTCACCGAAGAGATATTTCAGCGGCGTGCCAAGCTGCAACGAATAAATTAGTGCTGCCCCCACACCTCCGACCGTAGCTACTCCTCCTTTTCCTGCCCTCGACCATAATGATTGCCTCCCCCTTTGACAGCAAGTTCTTGGGAGCCTCCAT